CTGAAGCAAACAACAAATTCAATTTAAATAATGTTTTCTTCAAGATCTAAATAAAATGGTGTACTGTTGCTTAAAATGTTTACAAGCCAACGCAATAAAACAACTATAACCAATTAAATTATATTGAAACGAATTTATTTATGTATACCTGCAGGATATCCCAGAACGGCTTTTTGAATACTTCGTGTATATTGTTACGCAGCACCCTGCAGTAGCCTACGGCTATTATAGGAAACGTACAGATAGAAAAAGAAGTGGAATGTTACTCATCGCCCTACAGTGTGCTGCGGTCGTCATAAGTAAAAGTACAAGTAAAAGAAGATAGAATAGTCCAGAAATGTCATTGCCCGTCAAAAATATTCTAGACGTCAGTTCGCGAAGGTTCGATAAGGGTCAAGCAAGCTATATAAGGATGATCCTGACGTCAGTTTTCAGCTGTATGATAAACGTTACATGTTAGTGTTGTCAGTTGTATCGTTATTGTTAAAATTGAATGCGCTAGTTCCGTGTGATGTCATTTTGGTTCCACTGACATTTAATTCTAACCAAACTTTTAACAAAAACATCAATAAATTTGACATATACGTTTTTACTGTGTTTAGTTTATTTCTAAATATTGTTAACAAGTCATAAAAAATAGTTTAAAGGTATGTAATTGGAAAAGTTATTGTAAAGTTGAGTTAAAATAAATTGTGATACCAGTGTAACATTGGTGACAACGGTGGGATACAAAGTAAAAGTTCATGGTAAATACTAGATCCACTGAGTACTAAGCAGACATGGATACTTCAGGCCCACCAGCAAGAGGAAAAGGAATGGCGTAGAAAGGAAGAAGAGGAGGACAGAGCGAGGCGAGAAGAGGAAAAGGAAAGGCGTAGGAAGGAATAAGAAGAGGAAAAGGAACGGCGTAGGAACGAAGAAGAGGAGGAGAAGGAAAGGCGTAGGAAGGAAGAGGAAAAAGAGAAGGAGGAAAGGCGTAGGAAAGCAGAGCTAGAAATTATAAATGGTTTTGTACAAATTCAGGAAAATTTCAAGCAAGAAGTAGGTCAGCTTAACAGTCGAGTAGATATCTTGAAACAACAACAAGAGAATCTAAAAGCTACTTTAGAACAACAACGAGCCAATTTAAAACAACAGGAAAAGGCTAGAGTAGAGTTTGAACGGCAAATTAGAACTGAACTAGTTGAGTTAGAATTCGTAGCCTAGCTTCGATAAGCAACAGAAAAACTGAAAACACTACCTCGTCCTCACCTGTAATCGAACCGAGCCATATTCAACACCCAGTTTTTAACCGACTTCAAAAAAGGAGGAGGTTATCAATTCGTCGCGATATATTTTTTTTTTTTATGTATGTTCAGCGATAATTCTTCAACACGGTGTCCGATTTCAATAATTCTTTTTTGTTAGAAATGGGGTACTTCAGGGGTGGTCCCATATATATTTGGTCAAAATCTAATAATTGGGTCCATGAGGAAATCCTCAAAATCTTCATTTTTTATGTATGTTTAGCGATAATGCTTGACCACCTTGTCCGATTTATATGATTATTTTTTTGTTATTAAGGGGGTACCTCAGGGGTGGTCCCATATAAATTTGGTTAAGATGTGGTGATGGCATCTGCACGTTTTTGAAGTCGGTTTTTTTTAATTTTTAATTTCTAATACTTGTACAAATCCATACTAGCATACTAGCAAGACCCTCAAGCCACCCACGTTTGACGGTCAGACATCATGGGAATCATATCGACTCCAATTTGAAGCTGCAGCTAGAGCCAATGGCTGGACCGAGAAAGAGATGGCGGCTTCATTGATAGTATCACTGCGAGGTCAGGCGGCAACCGTTTTACAATTACTTCCCCAAGAAGAACCCAGTTATTCATCTTTCGTCCAAGCTTTGGAGACAAGATATGGCCAGCAGCATTTGAAACGGGTATTCCAAAGCCAGCTAAAGGTTCGTAGTCAGAAACATAATGAGAGTCTACAGGAATTCGAGGCTGATATAAGAAGGTTAATTCATCTGGGCTATCCACAGGTGCCGAAAGATTTCCAAGAACAACTCGGAATACAAGCATTCATTGATGGACTAAAATATGTGGAAATGCAGCAAGTCCTTCATCTACAACATCACAAGACGCTGAGGGAGAAACTGATTGCACCCCAGGAATATGAAGCGGTAAAACTGCTATCCAGATCTTCTCGCGCAAAAGTAAGGGAAATTAAATCCCAGGAAAGTGACGAGGCCAATACTAATGCTATTCCCCAAATCTTAAATATCCTACGAAATATAAAACGAAACAGCCAAAATGGAAGCAGCAGATGCTTCAATTGCGGAAGACTCGGACAACTTCAAAAAACCTGTAGAAACATGGCCCATTCTATAAATCGAGAATCAGCGAATGAGACCGGAAAATCATATAGATCAATCTTTCCAAGCCCATCACTAAGATCAACAAGAATTAATTATAGCAGCCATGAGTCCCGGAGAAGCCACTCACCCACACCGAGCCAACTTTCTAATAATAACCAGAAAGTAGAGCATCGAGGAGGCATCTATAGCAATGCAGACCTTCTCTTCGAGCAACCCCGTTTAGAGGAACAATGCTGGTATGGTAAAAAGCTCGAAGAACGAGAAGAACCGGTTGATAAAGTTACTCTTCGGTCCACCACTATCAAGCCGGGGGCGACGAAAAAGAAATCACCCTTGAAAGTCTGAGACAGGGACAGAAGAAATACAAGGACTTAAAGGTTGTCCGAGAATGGCTCGAAAATAAAGTCACACCTACTTGGCAAGAGATAGCCAAATACAGTAGAACTATAAAGGGCTACTGGACCAAGTGGGATTCCCTGTATCTTCACGATGGCCTATTTCACCGGAAGTGGGGTGAGCCCCGATGGAGTACATGTAGTCCGCCAAGTGATACTGCCGAGGTCACAGGTGAGAAAAGTATTGGAGGAGCTTCATAACAGCCTTCAGGAGGACACTTTGATACTAAAAGGATACTGGCACGAGTTCGGGAAAGATTTTATTGGGTCCATTGCCGACGGGATGCAGCGGATTGATGTAAAAAATGTGATGTATGCAATGGCAGAACAAAGGTCTATGGATTCGCTCGGGAATGACTGAAAGCCCACACCGATAAATCAGAAGCTAGAATCGACAGGCGTGCCACAGATACACATTTTAAAAGGGGCGACAAGGTATGGCTGTGCAATCCCAAGCAGCGAGGAGGACTTCGTCAGAAATCGCAGCGGAACTAGGAAGGCCCCTACTCCGTCTTTAAGGAGAATCAACGACCTGATCTGCCACATTCAACTGTCAGCGGGAAGTAAATTCAACGTAGTTCACATTGGGAAGATAGCTCCATTCCATGATCCAGACTATGGAGGGTAGAAAAAAGGAGGACAATCTTATATGGATCTTTATATTAAAAAGTGGCTACCAAAATGTATACAATTAAGATGGCGCTCGTGTAACCAGGGGACAAAATCCAATGCCATATAGTCATATAGATTGCTCATTCATAAGAATTATTTATTGTTCATATTATTATTTTTCAATAAAATTTGACTATTGTCGTGTATTGTCAAAATTTATCTACGATCACAGAACACTTACTCTTCTACGATCAGTCACTTTTCACGGTATAGTTTTTAGTTTTTTATGGTTGAGCAATATTTATTACTATATACATCATTGGTGTCATTGTGTGATCTGAATTATCGACTGTCGACGTCCCCTGGGCACAGAAGCGCCATCTTAATTGTATACATTTTGAGGGACACTTTTTGTATACAGAGATTGTTCTCCTTTCCTCTACCCTCCATAGTTCAGACCTCTCCATTAGTTCCAACTAGGTTCCAGTAATCAAGTTATTCGGGGCGAATAACTAGAGAGGAGGGGGCAATGTTACGCAGTGGCCTGTGGCTATTATAGGAAACGTACATATTGAAAAAGTAGTGAAATGTTACTCATCGCCCTACAGTGTGCTGTAGTCGTCATAAGTAAAAGTACAAGTAAAAGAAGATAGAATAGTCCAGAAATGTCATTACCCGTCAAAAATATTCTAGACGTCAGTTCGCGAAGGTTCGAAAAGGCAAGCTATATAAGGATGATCCTGACGTCAGTTTTCAGTTGTATGATAAACGTTGCATGTTAATATTATCAGTTGTATCGTTATTGTTAAAGTTGAATTGAGTTATTGTAAAGTTTAGTTAAAATAAATTGTGATACCAAAAGCTAGTGTAACAATATTGTTGTTACCCTGTCTAGTGTAATGTTCAAGATTGTCTTTCATAAGGACAAAACATGTCTGATGTCTTGTTGGTTGTAATGTTAACAAATTATTTCAAGTATATGAAGGGTAGAGGAAAGGAGAACAATCTCTGTATACAAAAAGTGTCCCTCAAAATGTATACAATTAAGATGGCGCTTCTGTGTCCAGGGGACATCGACAGTCGATAATTCAGATCACACAATGACACCAATGATGTATATAGTAATAAATATTGCTCAACCATAAAAAACTAAAAACAACACTGTGAAAAGTGACTGATCGTAGAAAAGTAAGTGTTCTGTGATCGTAGATCAATTTTGACAATACACGACAATAGTCAAATTTTATTGAAAAATAATAATATAAACAATAAATAATTCTTATAATAAAATGGCACAGAGGTCTCAATTTACTGCTTCCTGTCTGATTTCATTATGAATGAGCAATCTATATGACTATATAGCATTGGATTTTGTCCCCTGGCTACACGAGCGCCATCTTAATTGTATACATTTTGGTGGCCACTTTTTAATATAAAGATCCATATAAGATTGTCCTCCTTTTCTCTACCCTCCATGGCGCATGGCGCATGGCGCTAGTATCGTTTTGAATTTTGACACATCGGAACGTTTATTGGTTGAAGACGAAGTTTTTGACAAGCAAAGCGTGAAATGTCAGTATTGACAAGTGATAATTTTTTGATTTTTTTCTGCTATAAAATTTATAC